AAGCATTAGAACACCTGGTCAGTAGTTGATGAGGCACTGCAAACCAATTTAATCAATATAGAATAAACCTTGGCTATTCCTTCATTTCTGGTCTTCTACATATTCTGATCTTCTGATAGCTAGCAGAACACAGATGTGTGATGACAGCCTAGACAGCACATTGGAGAAATACGTGAGTTCTATATATACCTGTGGCAGTGACCTATGTCTAGAAAATCTGCATACTAAGTTTTAAGTGAGCTGTTTTGTACTGTTTTTGATAGAAAAATTATCTTAAATGCTTGTTGAAAATTTGATTTAATTTCCCTAGGTTTTTATAAAGACACTAAATGTGGTACTCTAAGTCTCACTTGTTAAGCTTGAAATGAATCTTTTTAGAAAAAAAAAAAGGCAAAATATAAGCCATTTTCCTACATTTGCTTGAGATGGTGAAGAGAAATTATGTAAATGGCTCTTACTGTATTGTGCTCACTTCTGTTACATGCCATAAAACCAAATGTGATTCTCATCAGAATGACAAATAATTCTGCTTTTGCAGTGTTAATGCAAGGTAGAGATTTGGGGAGGAGAGAAAAATAATGTGAAAAAAATAATCTGAATTATTGATCAAGGACTGGTGCTCCTGGTTGTCAGCCTGTATCTCAAAAGGAGCTTGAGCTAGCAGATGAACACTTTTTTCTTTAAGATTTAAAAGTATTGTCTGTCATCTTTTGTATTCTCACTCAGGGCATTTTCATTCTAGTTTGGCTTGTTGGTCTATGAAAAGAGCTACTTCAGAGCTACCAGAACTGAATTCTTCAAGATTTTGGAGTGTATTCTTTGTACTGCTTATAACAGGTTTTCATTTCAAGATTCTAAAAATTCATATGCTTGTAGCTCAGGTTGGCTAGAGAAACTAGACCACTTTTACATCTTTACAGTGTTTACAAGTGAGAATCATCAGGATTTTTTATGTTCTATCTTTGTAGTTCTGCTTCATTACAGTGAGATAAGCATGCCATGGTTGCTACTACAAAACCATTGCCTAACCTTTTCTTTAAAATAATTACCTCATTAGAAGCAGAACTAAATGTTCGTTATGTAGCTGTAAGAAATAGTGATTGCTTTACCCTGTGACTGTACACTGTAATCAAAAACCAGTACAGCATGAAGTTGAAACTTCAGGATTAGAACCCTGTACAGAGTAAGAAAGCAACAGGAAATGCTGTCTGAGATGGTTAAAAATGTTGGAAATTCTGCTGTAGGTGTGACCTGGGTGGCCAACACTGTTACATATCAGGTTATCCAAACCCACAAGCAAATCAAAGTTGCTAAAGGTAATTTATAAATCTTTTTCATTTTTTCTGAAGAAAAAAAAAGAAATCGGCTTCATTTGAAATTCATGTAGATCCAGGGAGTACCTCTGAGCATTAAAGCTGGCCTCCAAATTTAAACCTAAGCTGTCTTTCAAACATCATGCTTCATTGTTTAAAAAAGAAAAAACACACTTTCAAGTGATTTCTGTGGTGTAATGACTAAAGCCTGACACCATCAAGCCGGGATGGGCACAACTCACTTAGAATAAGGTAAGCTCAACCATGAGGAACTGGATAGTAAACTGACTGCAATTTTCAATAATTAGGCTATCGTGATTACAAATAGTTACTAATACAGTGGTTCAGAGTTCCTTTAACGATATTTGAAATGCATGCACACTTGGGGACGGGGAACAGCTCCCTGTGAGAAAATGTCTAACATTCAGGATAAGTTCAGTGGAAAATGTTTCAGTATCTCTAGTCACAAATTTTGAACTTTTAAAATGGTTGTAATAATGGAATGGCAACTAAAAATACAAATGAAAGATTATGAGGTAGTTTGTGAAAACTGATAAAGAGGAAGAATGTACTAAAATTCAGTCAAAATTTCTTTGACTGAAAGCACACTGAAAAATTAGAGACTAGCAATGTACATGCTGAATGATTTGGCTTTAATTTGTAAATGTCTTCTAAAAAAAAAAAGTGTGTGGCAAGAGTTTACTGCAAAGAAACTTACTACTATTTTCTTACCTTTACCTTTAGCTGCAAGTGGCTATTACAGATCTGTTTTCCTCTATGCCTATCTGAACAGCAGCTCTCTTTCCTGACATGTTTTTCTTTTTTTTAATTATTCTAAAAAGTGAGAGAAAAGCTCAGGGAACTGATCTTGTGTATGGAGGGTGCCTCTTACGAGTATTTGTTGGTATGACACTTGCACATTCTATTGAATCTCTATTTAGACTTGTCAGAAGTAGGAAAAAGGAGGGGATACTTTTACCTTTTTATGGAAAACTCACTACAAATGAGATTTAAGATATCTTCATTCTTGTTTTTCTCTCCAAGTTGTATTTGAATCCAAACAGAAACCATAATCCATGATTGCAAGTCTCATTTATAAGTCCTTTACATTTTGGAAAGCAAGAGTAAACTTATTTGCAAAACTGAAAGATTCTGCTATGACTTTCATCAGTCTTACAGAGCACCAGAATTGAACATTTCTTGCATTGAACAGTAAGCTGTCAGTCATTCTGTTCCAGAACAAGGTAAGAAACCTCCTGATGACTGTCATGAATAATACCATAGGTTATTGAATTAGGTGGTGTCATGGGGTAAGGCAGCCGTGTCTCAGAATAAACCATTTTTCTGTGCTGTTTTAGTATTACTTCAGTTGTATGCTTACTCAATATAGAATATCTAGTGTTACGATCAGAGGCATAGTATTCATTCAGTTAACTGCTTTCTCACTCTTGGATGATAGCTAACTCACTGCAAATTCAGAGGTCAATTCTGCATTTCAGAGGTCAAGGCTTTGCGCATACATCTTTGTGCATACATGAATCCTACCCTTCCTTCTCTGTTTACTTCTTTATTCACTCTTCCCTTTCCTTCTCTGGAAGAGCTTATGCTACTGGAACAAATGCTCTGTAAAAGCAGTCACATGGAAGCTTGTGACCACTTTGAAGTCAATTTCAAAATAGTTTTTGAAGTTTTTTTTCCTGTCCAGTGTAGTATTCCATATATTTTCATGGGCAAAACCAGACCTGCTTCAATTTCACCCAAAAGGAAAGCTACCAGATTCTAGAGGATAGTTCATACCTAAAATATTTGAGTAAGTTTTCCAAAGGAGCACAAAGTTTTACCTGTTTTTGTAATATGATAAACCCCTTGCTCTACAATAATTTGAACAGTTGTCTCTTTACATTTTACTTTCAATTCCCATGGGAAAAGATCAAAGGGGGAGCAAAGGCCATGTACAACCTGGGAAGCACAATGTGTTTCTCTTAAAACATTTGTGAAGGGAAGGGCAGCACTGTCCTTCTGGTAGAAGACTGCCAGTGTTATTTGGCTTAGAAGGAACCTCAGAAGCTCCCTACCCCAATCTGTGGCTCCAAGTAAGCTCAACTGTGAGTTCTGAGTAGATTAGCCAGAACTTGACCCTCTTTGACCTTGAATAGGGATGGACACCATGACATTTCTTTAGGGGACCTATTTCACTGTTTGGTTATCTTCATGATGGAAAAGATTTTCCTACTGTTGAGTCAGAACCTGTTCTGCCTTAAGACCGTCTCTTGACTTGATGTGTCTCTGACCAAAAAAGATACAAAGCAGGTCAAGAGATTACTGGATATTATTTCAAAATGATCAAAAATACTTAGGCGTTTTGTTCAGTCACTTCACTTTGTAGGTGCTGGCTGTTATTGGGTGACCTCCCTACTTCAAGCTCATCTCTTCTCTACACTGAACTGAAATTCTCCCACCATCTCCAAACAGAGCATTTGCTCTGGCCTCTTGATTATGTCTGTGGCTGTTCTTGTGACTATATTGGCTGCTGGAGATGGGCTTTTTCCCTGATTGAACCTGTTGTAGAAGAAAAACCTACAACTCTGTAATGCGATTTATTCTTTGTGTGAGCTCCTGTGAGAATGCAACTGTGTGATTCCATGTGTGGCTTAACTTCTCAGCTGTGCTGATTGTCAAGTGAAGAGCTGGATGCCTTTGGGTGAGATGGTTAACTAATAGAGCACGGAGAACTGTGGGGGGTTTTGTCTGAGGGGAGCTGGTGTGGGTTTTGAGGGGGAGATAAAGAAAACATACCTGATCTGAACTGCTGTGTGTGTAGGGTCTAAAGAACAGCATTGAGCTCTGGAGAAATTCCAGCTGAAGGTGCATCTGTGACTCCAGCCTGAGCACTTGTGACAGGGTCAGCGCCAGGAGACAGGTAAGTCCTGCAGGAGGCTTTTTTGCCAGGGACAGCAGCTGCGTGACAGGGCTGCTGGTGGGAGTTCAGCGGGAAATACACCCCGGGTAATAAAATGGCCACTCCTCGCCGGACGGGGCTGCTACAGTGCCGCCTTACCAAGTTGTAAACGCAGCTTTGTTTTTCCGGCTTTGCTCTCCGTGAATAGTAATCCTCGGTAACTACTTGTGTCGTCTTCTATGATCTATTTCGCGCTCTCCTACGCCCTGTCGCTCCTTTCGTTGTCGCAGCTCGACCCCTCACAAGCATTCGAGGCGCGCAGCAGATCTGCTCCACGCACCCTCCGTACCGCTCTCCCTCCCGGGCCCGGCCGTAGCGCTCGGGGCGGAGCCCAGCTGAGAGACAGAGAGGGGCGTGCCCCTTTCGGCAGAGCTTCTGCTGCGCGGGCGCTGCCCGGCAGGTGGCGCTGTAGCCGCCTGCGCCGCTCTCGGCTCCTCTCGGAGCTGCGCTGCGAGGAGCCCCCGCGTGTCCGCCATATTGGTGCCCGCGCCGCAGCCGCTGCGCCTTGTTCCTCCATCTCCTCCCGGCGCGGCCCAGCGGAGCCCGACGGGGGAGGGGACGTCGGCGCCGCCGGGCGGGAAGCGGGGGCGAGGAGACCGCGCGCCGCCGGGAGGAGACGGAAACGAGCGGGGCCCGCGTCCCTCCGCGCCCGCCCCCTGCGCCACCCGCCATGGCGAGGAGGCCCGGCGGCTCCTGAGCGCGGCGCGCACGCACAGAGCGAGCCGAGCCCCGGCCCGGCCGCCATCAGCGGAGAGAAGCCGCCCGGCCCCCGCCTCGGCCGCGACATGGAGGCCGTGAAGGCCTTTAACAGCGAGGTGCGTGCCCCCTCCCGCGCCTTCCCCCGGGGTCGGGGAGCGGGCGGGGCCCTGGGGCCCGGCGCCTTCCCTGCCCCCTCCCGCTGCGCGCGCCTCGCCGCGGGGAGGGGGCGGAACCGGGGGGCCGCGGCCGGGCAGCCCCGGCCGGCGGGAGCGGGGAGCGGCCTCCCCCGGGAAGGTCACCGGGGTGCGGCGGGGGCCGCTATCAGCAGGGCGGGGGGGGGGCGGCGGGAGAGGCGGGAGAAGCTCCCCGAGCCCGGGCGACTTCCACCGAAGGGCTGCGGGAGACGGCGCGAGGAGGGCGGTGGGGGAGGCTGGGGGCAGCGGGCCTCTTCCGTGCTCTTGACTGGAGGGAAGAGCGGTGCCCGGCCAACTTCACGCAGGGAGCTCGGGAGAGCGGGGCATTTCCTGGCTAGGTCTGCCCCATTCTCCTATCCGCTCGCCTTTTCCGGCACCCCTTCCCACTTTTCTTGTTTAATCGGCTGCCCGCACCCCGCCAGCGTACATCTCGGCACATCCCTGAGCTGCTTGTGGATCGGGGGGTGGGAATACGAGGGCCTGGAGGCTCACCTCCGTGACCGAAGATAGCTCATTTAGAGAGGATAGAATGAAAGCAGACATTCCATACGTGTTATATGGAACCACACTGAAAACTGTTGAGAATGATACAGAAGATTTGCAAACACTGCTCACAAAGATCAGTTATTGATAGGATATGTAGCTTCTTTCTTCCTTTTTTTTTTTTTCTTTTTTTTTTTTCACCAGTACTTCATCTTATTTCAGGATAGCTCTTAGGATAGCTCTGCTTTGTTCCTCTTCATTGCCAGAGTTTATATTTGAGAGCTCAGGTGAGAATAAGGAAAATAAATACCCGTTTTCTCCATGGGAAATTCTGTGCCTTAGAAAACTCGACTTTTATTAAATGTAGAAAGTATCAGCTCTGGTTACAATGCGTACTTCTGTAGGCTGCTTGGAGTTGGAGCTCCGGGTTTCTCTCTTCAACATAGAAGTGGCAAGGTTTTAATAATTTAAAAGTTTTCTGTTATTAAATTTTATTAAGTGGCAGTTTTATTTTTTTAGTGGAACAGTGTGCTAACCATGTTGTATTTACAAGCCAAAATAAAATTTTAGGAGTGTTTTTTAAGTGGCGCTTCTTGAGAACTCAGTAGGAACTGACTTGGCCTAAATGATGTACAGTTCTAAGTTTTGCATGTAACACAATTTGGATTCTCGAGCGGAAAAATCATGTTGTAAGCAGAAAAAGAAAATACTAAAAACATTTCTGTTCTACTTTTTACTTTGCTTACTTACCGTATTCTTAAGTAGGGAAAAGTCTAGTTGCAGTAACAGAAGAACATAAGCAGTTTAGAACCTTTTTCTTGTGTATACCTCCCAGCATGAGCAATAGTTTTTGCTTCTGTATTCAGAAACAACTTCTGGATGACTTGCTGAGCACGCAGATATAAATACTGTCAAAATAACAGATGAACTCTGCAGACTTAGGGTAAGGAAGAGAAAAGCTTCAGAGTGTGCCCATCTTTTAAACGCTCGAAAAAGACTGGAGTTTGTGTTCTTGGAAAAAGAGATGCAGAAGATGAACCACTTTTTCTCCTATAGTGTTAGTTGGTAGCATCTATGAATAGATTTGTTTTTATGACTTCTCTCTGTTTTGGTTTAACGGCTGTCTCTGTATTTGAATACTGGTCTACACTGATAGGAAAGTTTTGAAGATGCTGTAACCAAACCCCTCACCCTGGAAGTAAGTGATACACAAGTTGCTGTGTTTGTGAAGTCCTGAGTATAGTTGCTAGATACTCTAACACCTCCGTATCCACTGCAGTACTTGATTTTAACTTAATTTTCTATAGTTATTTCTGGTCTAACTGACCTATACGTACTCAGCATTTTAGAAATGTGAAATGACACAGTGAAATAGCTGAAGTGGATGTGTCCATAGCTTATGGTCTATGCTATACCTGAATACTTTTGAGTAAGTTACAGAATATTTGTACTTTGCTTCCAAAATTCCTTTTTCTTTTGGTTTATATTATGCTCAAAGATGAAGCTATACTTCAGACATGATGTTGGAGTTTTTTCTTCTAGAGATGTTTGCTTTAAAATAGATGTAAATTAAATATAGCGTCAGATCCAGTAGACTAAATTCATAGAAGAAAAACTTTTAACTGCTTTCTCTTATGCAGCTTGCATTCAATTTACAATTTTACAATAGTTTATGCGGTTTATGTAACTTACTGGTGAAATCTTAATGACGCTTTAGAAAGAACGTTCCAAATACATTCAAACACTTAAATATGCAGACTGGGTACTTCTATTGTTTGTTTGTGCTTTTTTTTCTTAGGGAAGGAGTTATGTTTGGATTCTGCCATGAAGCTAAAATGAAAGCAGCTGTCCACCTAGGTAGTGTAAATTACTCAAAATGTTTGTAAACTGAAAGAAGATCTCATAGCTGTCCTATAGGAGAGTCACAGTGGAAGTGATTAACATAGGTCACTAATTTGATTAGAAAGAAATATCTCAAGTTTCCCCTTGTACTCTTGAGTACTAGATGTAATGCCTGCTGCTGCAGGTTGTGCATCGTGTTGATACTTGGCATTGTCAGTGCTGTACCTCACTGTGAATGTAAAATTAGCTGTTATATCCCATCTCTGGAGGGTTCAGGGTCAGGTTGGATGGGGCTGTTGGCAGCTTGATTTACTGGGTGGCAACCCTGCACGTGGCATTACATGTTTTCATGTAGTGGTTGATATTTTACCTTGGATTCAAAATGCCTAGCAGTGAAACAGAAAGATAAAATATTTCACAGCTGACTTTGTATGCTGTTAATTGTCAGTGTTTCACTGCATGGTTTATCATTTGCTATAGTTGACATCCTTGAAGCTTAGCTACTGCAGAATCATGTTCCTCCGGGTCTCACTTCAGACCCCGAGCTTTTTCTTAAAAGCAGAGCATCAAAGTCAAGAACAAGTCGTGACAGAAGAAAATTATTTAAACATTTAAAGTTCTTTACACATTCCATACAGTGGATTTTGTTAGAAGGAACTTGAATGAACTAGAGGCAAGCACACGTACTGTCAAGTTCCAGCAGTGAGATAGTAGTGGTTTAGTTGCAAATGTAAGTAACTAAAACATAGTATTTGTTGTATAGCTGTCTAAAAGCTAAAAGCTTTTAAAGAACATTATCAGCTTAGATGCTTATTTCCCTTAAAACTGCAGTAATAATTCACTGATCTAGTTCGATTAAATGCAGCATTCCATTTATTTGATGTTTCTCACATGTCTTAGTGAACTAGCTTAAAGCCTGCCTGTTGGTGATGCTACCCTTGCTGTCATTTTGTTTTCTCTGTACTTAGAAGAAAAACACCTGATGCTTACCTTGGACAGTTATCTTTCTAGTTTTAAGGCAGCACAATATATTACTGATATCCAAGTGGCAATTGTAAAAAGGTCAGCCATATATTAAAAAAAAAAAAAAAGACATAGTTTCTTGAAGCTCATACCAGGAACAAGAAATCTCTGTGCATTTGGGTATTGATCTTTTCATATGCAACTGAATTGAACGGTGAAATAAGTATCATTGTGGACACATGGAATGTGCTCCATATTGAAGTGTTTGAAGGTGGGGTGCATATAATGCACTGAAAGATTAAGGAAGTGACTTTAGTTTGCATAAAGAGTGATGTGGATTCCTGTGTCTTTTCTGTTGTAAATCCACTTGTCTTCTAGGAAGAAGAGCCACAAGTAAAACTTGCCCAGAATTACTAGACTGGGCTTCAGGTGTTTTTAACGATGAGAATGGCTATCCATACATAGGTCATCGTAAAGTGGGGTCGCAGTGAGCATTTGGTGTGCAGGACAGTTTTGAGAGCTATGTAAGATGAAAGGAAATGGTTCATAAAATCTTCATTGTTACGTTTGAGCTAACTAACCTCTTCTTCTGAAATCTGTCAGTGGTAGGGATGTAGCTGCCACTGATCATTTACTGCTGGTGCAGTTGTCTGTGTGCTCCACTTAACTGAGCTGTTCATTGCTCACCATGGCCATGATGTTTCTTCAGACAGCAGGTTTGCAGTGGTGACAGGGGAGCAGTTTGGTTAGCTGTGGTTTCAGAAATGTCCTCTTGGAAATAACTTACACGTTCATTACACACACTGGAGTATGGATGCACAAAAGTACAGTAAATCAGTTACTCTGTTTTAGAGGGCTGTATTTATATGGCAGCTTTTTTATAAAAGAATGCCAGTTGATGCTTAAAAGAAAAAGCCTAACTGGTGTGCCTCATAAAGGTGCTAAATAGAAATTGATGCTGAATAGTTGAATAGAATGGTGAGAAGGATGCTCTGTGAAATGTGGAGCCAGGGCTTTGATTAGTGCAAGTAATGATAATAGCAGTTGTATATGAGGAACAGCAGAATGGCATGTAAGCTACTCCAGGGCAAAACAGATTTCTGAAATCCTGCCTTTGCTGAAGCACCTGTAACATCTGCAGAGTTTTATTTTCTGTCATTGCTGAGAAAATGAGAAATCCTCTGCCTGTTTTCTTTTCTTTCTTGCCAATAGTTTTAACAGTGGTGGAAAATAGTGATAGGAAAGTGCAACTTGCTTTCACATCCTCTGCTGTTTTAAAGGACTCTGCTACTGATACCTTCAAAGCTTTTTAACTTTTGGTTTTATCTGATACTTCATTTATCTTCTGCTCTTTGTAAGCTTTGCTGTTGCAGATTGGGATTCTTTTATCTCTTATTCGTAATTTTTAGGATTAAAAATTAACCATTTGTATTTGCATGTGCATGTAGATACCTATCCAGAAAGGTGTCTCAGTTTTTCATTCTTAACCTCTGGCTCAGAAGTGAAAATGGTCTTCGGTTTTATTTTGCATTATAATCCCACAGTGCTCCTTAGAGAAGAAAAGACAAATGACAGAGAAAATGCATTTCATTAGGATGCAGCAAAATACGTAAGAATTTGTTAATTTCACTTTT